CATGAATGATTGCTCTTCCATACAGCTCCCATTCCAAGTTTGATTTCATTTACATGGCAAAGCCATATTCTAAACGCCAGTAAACCCAGACTTTTGGCCCTCTGATTTCTGCAGATGATTAGATGAGATTATTCTTATGGAAAGACTTAAAAAAAATTAGCATTAAGTTTCAGATATATGTCTGTGTGTCTGCTGTACTGTCACCCAGTTTCAGACCCAAAGGTCAATTTTGGTCTGCATGGCAGTGATAGAAACTAACAGGTTTAGTCCACTAGTCCTAATAATAAATAGCGAAACCCTTAAAAAGGGCAAATTTCAACTTGTCATTATGGTACCTTAACTATTGAGCAGTTTGGCAAGGACTGTGGGACTAGTGGCAATTTCTAACGCTGCATGGTGATACTGTCGCCCCATTTAGCTCAATGTTCAGCTGCATCTACTGTGGGAGCCGAACCCAGAGAGGACAGCTGGTATCTGCATCTCTCTGTCTGTGTGTCCTCTGTATGTGTCCATGGGATATGCCCCCATCCAGGTTCGTGCTTGGCAGTGTGGTGGGTTTGCATGGTGATACAGTCGCCCATTTAGCTCAATGTCCAGCAGCACCTACTGTCGGAGCCGCACCCAGAGAGGACAGCTGGTATCTGCATCTCTCTGTATGTCCTCTATGTGTCAATGGGATATTCCCCCATCCAGGTACGTGCTTGGCAGTGCCAGGCCCTGTGTACAGGCAGAGAGGTCAGTTTGCTGCTGTCTCATCAAGCAGGTATTGTGGAATGTGGCAAGTGGACAGGTCAACACCTACTGCCCACAGGCCAACCTGCTCACTTCACACTGTCACAGCCAACTCAAACACAGCCAGTTCAACTTTGGGCACCTTGCTGCCCCAGCACCCTGGCTAGCAACAGTTTCTCATTGTCTTGATGAAAGTACAGAGTTCTCTGTTTGGTTCTAAAGGAAAAATAAATACAACAACAGCTATATGCATGTTTGTACGTTTGTGTTCTGAGTGTCATGGGGGTGTGAGGTGGCCTTGTGGTTGTGGAGTTTGCTGGTTCCACTGAAGACCTGAGTTTGATTCCCATCAGTGGTTCTCTGTTTGATGTCCCCCACTGCTACAACACTGATGCAAGTGGTGTAAAACATCTCGCAGACTCACCAGCACGTCCGAATCTAGTCACATTTACCTTCACATAACCCCAAGTTTTATGTGACAATGATTTTGCAAGATGATCTCTGAATGAGATATGACTCTGTAACAGGCTATTAAACTTGTCACTTTCTCTGAAATGATGACTTTGAGATTATGCAAGTCTGCAGTTTCAATCAAATAAGTCTTGTGTTAACTTCATCAATAGATGGAGTTAGTCTTGGCATGGAGAAGTTATGTCATGTTAGAATGTCATATCTCATCCTGGAAGACTTGTGTGTGAATACCCACAGGTCCAAGCGATGAAGTCCATTCTTGGTGTCCCTCATTGTGATGTGGAGATATCGTTAAACTCAGTGTTAACATACTTACTTACAAAGCTTTGTTCGATATAGTAGACATGATTAGCTATGGTATTTCTGTAATGTCATTAGTATAGAAGTCTAGTGTTACATACGTTATTAGTGGAATGGGTTCCAGTCAGTCCTGTAAAGCCCTGGTTTACATAATACATAACTCACATTGAGCGATGTAGTTATTTGTCATTGATATTCTTGGCCTCCTGGGAGAGCAATACCTTAATAGCCATTATGTAACTTCAATGCAGATTGCCAATAAAGCTGATTAGGTTTCTATGACCTTCATCCAATTGGATTGTTTCCGTAACACAATACTGTTATAACAAATGGTAATCACATTCATTATTATGTGAAATATTATTTAGATATAGAAAAGATAAATACAAATTTATTTTGGAAAAGTTGTTGTTAAAATCAGGAATTCTTCTATATTTACAATCACATTTAGAAACATTTTCCTTAGTATTTGAATTGAAGGAGGTACTAGGGTCTTCTGATCTGCTGCTAAGTACTTAATCTTGGAAACCTTAAATCTTTATCTTTAGTTTTAGGACAAGACCCTTTGACTTTCATGCTTACTTTTAAACACTGTAATGTAGATATCTGGTATATTCAAATTACTGTGTACTCACATGCATTTAACCATATAGCTACTGGAAGAGTGACTTGATCTCATTATTCTTACTAGTTTTCTATTATCCACTGCAGGCCTAATTTCACCAGCAAAGCTGAAGAATGTGGGTAAGATAGGGGAGCATAATGTTGATACAGTTTGAGAAGCCCAGTTATAGCACTTACTGGTCTTGAGTGGTTTATTGCTGTCATATAAGTCTGACCTAGTTGTCACATGACGTCATGACAAGGGCCTGGTGACTTGCTCTGTTCATAACATGGTTGTCATGTGACCTGTGTCGGCTACAGGAGTGGTTTGTAGCTGTCATATATGTCTGACCTAGTTGTCACATGACGTCATGACAAGGGCCTGGGTGGTGACTTGCCCGTAACGTTGTTGACACTTGACCTGTGTCGGCTACCTGAGATTCTTGTATTGATGAATATAAAATGATTAATGTTAAGTTTACCAGGGCCCACAACATGATCTTTGCACTACAACTGTTATAAATCTGTGGGGGGCACGGGTGGCCCAGTGGTCTAAGGCACTGTGATTTGTTGTGCAGAGTTGCGTCCCTTGGGCACTTCAGAAACCCATGATTGTGGGTTCGAATCCCGGTTTGTCCCGATTACGTTTCTAGGTTTGTCAGCACCATACCCGTGCTAGTGGGTTTCACCAAAGTGGTAAACGTCTGAGACCTGCATCACTTCGGGCTTTCCTCCCACATAAAACTGACACACCGTGATATAACTGGAATACTGTTAAAAGCGGCGTTAAACCCAACTCACTCACTCACTATAGATCTGGGTTAAAGTATGGGAGTGATGATCATCTTAACATTAAGACTATTTTGTGGAACAGAACCGTGACCATAAGGTCTTCAACAGGTTTGCATAGTAATTTCTTGTAACAGAGTAAAATATACTATGAATGAATCCTTGTGACAGAATGGATGTGTATATATGTTCCAATAGCTATTTGTCCTACTGATTGTGATATTATTTCAGGTAACCTAGCTGCAGCACAGATACTGTAACTTCATCTGAAATTATGTTTAACAATGTCATTTTACGCCACTTTCTATTTCCTAAGGCTAGAATTGTTTATTTATTGCTTGATTTATCAATGTTTTGAAAATCTTTCTCGATAGATTGGTAAAAAGAATAATGGAAGATATTTCTTCATTAGGTTACCTGAGTATGTAACAAAATTTGCATGTCCGTGAGCTGGTCTTGTTGGTCTTTACAGTTAGCAGGAAAATAAATAAAAACATTTTTTACATAATTCTAGGGACAGCAGAGCTGTAAACCAATTTTTAAGAATCAATCACCCAACCAGTTTAATGTCAGAGCTGTATTTCACACATGTGGGAGTTTCTGTGTAGTTTCATTACACATGCAGGTGGAGAGAGTGTGTGTAAATGGGGGATATAGCTTTTTGCCCTCTCACAGCCGTGTTTAGTATACAGGGTTACAGCAGGGATTAGTCCACCTAGCTGCTTACATGTTGTAATAGGCGCAGTTAGTGGTTGGTGGATTATTTTAATAAAAACATTGTCAGCATCCCTATTACAGGGATTGATGTAGATCTGCTCTGAGGCAAATCTGCAGCAATGTCTGTAAAAGTCCCAAATTGGAATTGAACATTTCCCAAGTCATGCTGTGATGATAATGACTAATGTCATGGCTTTGTTGAGGTGACTTGTGTTTACTTGATAACAGGATCAATATAGCGGAAGAGGCTTTAATGCATTTTACATTATTGCATTGAATGTGACAGTTCAGTGTTAAACTATGTGTGAATTTAGGAAAAGAAGACCTTTAAAAAAATATGCCAGTTTTGAACGAAATGATTCTTCCCAATTTGCTTGCCAAGGGCACTTAGGTTGGAATCCTAAATAAATCCATGCTGTCAAGGAGTCAGTATATTGTATGGCTGCAGGTGTCTGTCTACATCATAAATATTCATCAGGAACTTGGTTTGTGGCTATTATATCAATGTAAATTTTGTCCCTATAAGTTTACATGTCGTGAATGTGAATGGCCTGGTATTGCTGACATGATAATCTGGTATGCCGAGCACGGTGTGTTTTAATGTCTGTCATAGTATTGTTAAGCAGCTATGTGTAGGATGTGCCAGGTCACGTTGACCTCATTCTGCACTGCTGCACAGCAGGTGACACTGACACTGCAGCATCATGCACGGTTGACACAGATGGATTGGGTAGGGGGGAAACCCACATGTGGATACAATTAGATACATGCTTTGGGGAGAGTATCACAGATTATTTGACATAGGTTATTTTTTTTCATAGACAGATAACTATGATTTTGAGAGCTTGTTTGAATCATATCATGCCAGGTGTTAAAGTCATTGACCTTGGCCGTTACATTAACAATTAGTACCCGAAGTAAGGTTATCTTATTTAATATATATAATGTACAAAATGAAAAAGAAGTAAAAATGGAGCCCAGAACAATGATGGTTTCAGAGCAGAGGCAATCTAGACTTGCACAATCATTCTAGACTTGAGTTGGATTCTCATTTTAATTTATTCTCTAGGGTCTGGGAGACTAATTGGCAGTATAGTAACTACTGACTAACTAACTGACTAATGGGTGGTTTCCCTCCTAATAGTTTTATTGGTGTCAGTAATGTAATTGAGGAAACAAAACGATGCTACTAAAAGCTTATACCAAGCTTATGCATAAATTGTTGATGTCATGATCTGGTTTCTTCAGTGTTGCATTACATACATATGTTGTAGGAACTCTGTTGTGGTGCCGATCTGATTCATCACTAGGTGAAGCACCTGTAAAATATCTGTTATTAGCATGTGCAGTCAGAGCAGTATTTTCTAATCAATCTTCTGTTGTTGCAGGCGAGACTAGAGATAAAGGACTTGTTCACAGACCTGGCTGATGGCAAGATATTGATGAAGCTGCTGGAGATAATCTCGGGCGAGAATCTCGGTAAACCCAACAAGGGCTTGATCAAGGTGCAGAAAGTAGAGAACCTGAACAAATGTCTCAAGTTCCTGGCAACAAAGGTGAACAGTTATAAAGATTTATGATTTTGAAAGTAATTTACTTAAGAGTTCTTAACGATTGTTTCTTCTGTGATTGTCACCAAGGTGGTTGTTGGACAGAATAGTCCCCATCTTCACACATTGACAGAATTATCTTATGTGCCAGCTCAGATGAGGGCCGGGTGATCAATAGTGGTTCGTCTGGGGGCGAGTCATCCCAATGCTGCCAATCTCCCACCTGCCCAAAGTGTTCATTCCGACATGAAATAATGAAAAGTTTTCACATCTCAATATCCTCACACCTGTGTAAAAATATGCACCGATTGGATAAAAAAAACCCAACTACTCCCATTGCACACTCATAAAAATATCCAGGTCAGCTTGATCTTTCTTCAGCTATGTTTATCAAAAAGTTGTTTTCAAAGTAACTAAATCTATTCTGTAAATTAATTTAAAGACTGCTATCAAGTATTTTAAACTTTAAAATATCATGAAATAAGTTACCCAATTAGTGAAAACAGTTTTCTATTTTTAAAAAATTATATTATGGCCTCCCTCTCTCTTGCTGGTTGAAGTTGGAGATGAGAAACACCTAAAAACATGGTGCAATGTTTGGTAGGGGGACCATCTGGAATGGTGAAATTACAGCATAAACCTGGCTGAGTTGGTGTGTAATTATTCCCTTCTGACATGGATCTGCTTACACCATCAACCACTGGTTTTGCTTGGACTTCACTGTTCAATTACTCATCTCTGTGCAAGACCTTTTTCAATCACCCAGACTATCAAACCTAAGATTAGTGGATAGATGGTGAGCATGAACGGCGCTATATAAGTGCGGTAATGTTTAAACACAGTGTTAAACCCCATTCCACCTCACCTGTGACATCAAGAGAACTTGTCTCCTTTGCAAGTTGGATTGAGAAAGAACTTGACTCACATGTATCATTATATTACAGGTATACTTTGAGAATATTGGTGCTGAAGATATCGTGGATGGCAACCCGCGACTGATCCTTGGTCTAATCTGGACCATCATCCTCCGATTCCAGATCCAGGAGATCACCATACAAGTGGTGAGTGCCCTCTGTGTTCACCGACACACCTCTCCCTTGTCATGGAGGTGGTGGACAATCACACCTATATTCCTTCCTCAACAGATTGGTCTCTATTGTCTTCTAAGGGGCACAGGTAGCCTAGTCGTCTTAGGCACTGCAACTCGCTGTGCAGAGTTGCTTCCCTTGGGCACTCCAGAAACCTATGGTTGTGGGTTTGAATCCCGGTTTGCCCCATAGGTTTCACCAAGGTGGTAAACATCTGAGACCTGCATCACTTCGGGCTTTCCTCCCACATTAAGCAGACATGCCATGATATAACTGGAATACTGTTCAAAGCCGCGTTAAACCAAACTGACTCCTTCTCTATTGTCTACTTTGTTTGAGCACATCTTCCACAGACATTGTGGCAATGTTATAATCATACCTAGTTCAGCATTAGTGTATGAGTTGGCCTCTTTGTATCTTCAATTGGCTGCGAAATGTGGACTGTCTTTTGTGTAGAACAAATATTATGTGACATTTGTTAATAGCATGTGTCATATGTCTCCATTGGCTGTGTAACAGGTATTTCACCTTTACTGAATAAGACCGTTCCTTTCCTTGTCAATCCTGCCCTGTTTTTCCCCCTTTCCTTTCTGTGTTTTCAGTTTGTCTTTTTTTTAAATTGAAAATAGAGTTATTTTGAACTTCATTCTACTTATTTTTTAAGACTTTTAACGAAATTTTATGCCTGACAGCATGTTTAAGGTTATGATCTCATGTGCTTCAGGATGAGGAGGAGGAGAATAGTGAGAGGAGATCAGCCAAGGATGCCCTGTTGCTGTGGTGTCAGAGGAAGACTGAGGGGTGAGTTTGTCAGGGGAGTCCCGGTTCTGGGGAAGTAGGGAGGTGGCAGTACAAGACATGTGGCACATTTTCCCTCTCTAACTAGCTTCGGTGAAACCGAAGTGGAGGACTTAATGCGCCATGTTTTACATTGGGACACATTGCAAGAAATCAGGCTTTCAACTGATATGATTAGGATTGATTTAAGATAATCCTTGAACATCAAAGAAGTAACTGAAACCCTATTCTCATATGTATCATTAGTTATGGTGTTCACCAGAGTGTGAAAACATTTGAAGTTGAAGATATTATTGTGAAAGCAATAGCTTTGTCAATGAGTTATGTACAGCATCCCCCCAACAGGAAGAGTCACAATTTACACTCTCCTTGGATGTGCTGATTTAAAACTATTGTGTTTTTTTCAGCTACCCTGGAGTCAAGATCACAAACTTCACCAACAGCTGGCGAAATGGCCTGGGTTTCAATGCCCTTATACATGCTCACAGGTGAGGCAGGAATAATAAAAATAATAAAACGTTCTTATCTATTCAGTCTTTGGAAAATGGTAAATTTTGTCCTTTTTCCCCCCAAGTATGATGTAATGATGTTTTTGTGGTATTATTGAGTTAAAAACTATCATGCAGGACCCTGTTCATGTAGACACATTGTGCAATTACTGTTGGGAACATACCGACAAAAGGAAATACTCTGACCCATTGTCTGTGATCAGGATAGTTTTCTGGGATTAAGGAGGTTTGACTGGTTGTATTCTTATGTTATTTATCTCAGGCCTGACTTGTTTGACTTCAACAAACTGGAAGCCGGGGACAACCTGGGTAACTTGAACCACGCCTTCAACGTCGCGGACAGCGAGCTGGGGATCCGCAGGATACTGGATGCTGAAGGTAGGTGGTGATGCTGATGCTGGGGCAGCGGCTCTCTTATGTTTTGTATACAAATGCAGGGAGGTGTGATGAAGCAAAGAAAATTGTATCTCTGTCTTATTGACATTACAGAACCTCAATATCAATGATTTGGGTATTTAAGAAAATAGATTTACATGTGTCATGGATGGCCTCATAATAAATTGCGGCACATTGTCAAGCATGGTATCGCCAAGACTCACCTGCTGTAAATTGTTTGCTTACCTTGTTTGAAATTTTGATGTTATTATTAAATGGAAATCTTTGACCCCCTTGCCAACTTTGATCTTATTTTAATGTGGAATTTTACATTGGGAGCATGAATTATGTGTTTATTGATGTTTACAGATGTTGACGTGAACAAGCCAGATGAGAAAGTCATCATCACCTATGTGGCTTCATACTATCACTACTTTGCCAAGATGAAGAGCGAACTCACTGGAGGCAAGAGAATCGCAAAGGTACAGAAAACCTATTCAGGATAGTTGTTCGAAATTAAGACCTGATATAAAAACGGACCATAGATTTTTGTTTAACTTTGATAACGTAGAGTTGAATGCGTATTCATATTGCTCAGTGTTTAGGAAGCCTGTGCTAACATAACAGTGTCACATTGATGTTGCATTGAACACTGGGGTATGAAGTCGCATGAAGCAGTCTTAAAATCTCTGTTTACACCAAGTAAATCAGTGTTAAGTATGTGGTGTCCACCTGCAGTGTAGAAGACAGCTATCCAGGGAATGTAGCTGATAACACGGTTATCTTGTGTTTAACGTTGACACTTCTACTCTATTAGATTAAATGATGTGAAAATAGTTTTCAACCCTTCATCACTCCATTATTAACAGTAACATGTGCTTTGAAAATAATAAATTGTTTTTTGGTTTTTGTTCTTTATATGATGAAATATCCCTAAATAAAAAGATGTTATCACATGTGTGTCATGTGTTTTGGGATGGTAAATACTCTGTATTAGGAATAAGCACTGTATTTAGCAAGTCTTCGTAGGTGTTAATTCCGTAGGTTATTTCCGAATGGGACTCCAACCAAAAGTACTAGAATTTGTACTTTACTAAAACTGTAATCCAAAATATTTACCGTCCCCAAACAGTGTGACAAGCTTTTTCTCATATAATGTTGTTATCATATTCTATCGTTGAAACAAATATTTTCATCTCTCACAAATGCAAGTTTTCCTGGAATGTGCGCATAAATATATTACGTGACATTGTCACAAGTGATCTTGTTTTTTTTGACAGATTTTAGGTATCTCAGACAATTATTTTGATAATGAAAATGAACATGTATTATAAAATAACAACATGCTTCAATGAATGTAGTGGTTAAAGCTTTCGATCGTCACGCCGAAGACCCGGGTTCGATGTCCGCAATGGGCACATTGTGTGAAACCCATTTCTGGTGTCCCCCGCCATGATATTGCTGGAATATTGCTAAAAGCGGCGTGAAACCATACTCACTCACTTAGTTAAACTATGTGTTCAAGCTGTCCTTCACAACCTGTCCCATTGATCTGAACCATCAGTGACTTCTTAATTGAAATGTGATCTTTTATCCCAGTAAATTGTCCTGATCCTGATGGTCAAATCTGACTTAATTGTTAATAGAAACCTGACAAGTGTGATGCCATGTTTGTTTGTAAGTACTGAACACAGAACCTACCTTATATTTGTCCTTAAACAACGTTTGTATCTGTTGGCTTTATCCTGCCCTGAAACCAACCCAATATGGGATAAATAGTGAAATATATTTTAAATTATTGATATTAAAATGGATTAAAAAAATTGGTTAGCGGTTAGATACATGAATAAATTATTCTTTGTCGTACTTGTGATGAAAATCACAGATGCATGTATGAGGCATTTGAACAAAAACGATGCAAATTTCTGATATGGGCCTTTCACAAACAGAACTTGAAGTCTGAATATCATAGTTATTTCTTTGTTCACTCTGTCTTAGGGGAAGTTATCCCATGTCCCCTGTCAGTTTGTTTGATGTAAGTTTACGTTCATTGTCAGATTGTGGGAATGATGTGTGACCTGGACAAAATGGAGAATGAATATGAAGGGTTGACGTCCAACCTGCTGGAGTGGATCCACCGTAAGATGATGGAGCTCAATAGCCGCAGTCTGCCCAACTCTCTGGAGGGCATCCAGAAGGAACTTATCAAGTTTAAGGAGTACATGACAATCGAGAAACCACCAAAGTAAGCCACAAGATGGTGCAGCCTTTGTACATAGCACTGTTGGTTTAGTTGTAGCAGGATTTCCTTACTCAAAACATACTTTGGGTATATTCAAAGGAGCCACAGTGATATATCCAACAGAACCCAGGGATATATTTTCAATGGAGCCACAGTGGTAATAATACTCAATAGAATCACGGTGATATATCCACTAGAGCCATTGTAATATGGTCAGTAGAGCCACTCCTGAAGTTGTTGTAAGAAAACCACACATCAACAGTGCAATTTCTTTCTTTTTTATTATAATCTGAAGCATAATTCTTTCTTTTCATGAATTTTCAGGGACAATTTATTTCTTTTCAATAAAATCCCTGCCACTCCACTGAATATCAATATGGTTGGTGAAAGAAATCCGTGGTAATTTACTCAATAGAGCTACATTAATATATCCAATATAACCATGGTAAATTATTCAATAGAACCACAGTAATATGTCCGGTAGATATGATAGTGTCCTTAAGAGATCTTCGGTAGTATATAGAGCTAGAGAGTAATGTACATTTCTATCCTTTATTTTGTCTTTATCAAATGTCATATACTTTGGTTATTAATGTTTCTAATTTTGTCCTTCCGTCTAGATACCGTGAGCGAGGGAACATTGAGGTGCAGTATTTCAACATCCAAGCTCGCCTGAAGGCCAATGGCCAGAAGATGTACACCCCACCAGAGGGTCAAATGATCCACGACATAGAGACAGCCTGGTTGCAGCTGGAGAAGGCAGAACACGGGAGAGAGGTCGCACTCAGAGATGAACTTATCAGGTTGGTAGGGGGCTGTCACAGAACGACTCGGTTGAATTCCCTTCATGGGTACAATGTGATGTTCATCTGCCAGATAGTTTTTGTGCACAGAATTCTCCCCATTATTATTGTGGCGATTAAACAACGGGGGTAAAGAGTGTCTGAAAGAAGTATACGCCTGGACGTTTCATGAGGACATTTGGCTTCTTTCAAATGATTGTTTGATATGTTGTGTATTCTTCTCCCCAGACAAGAGAGACTGGAACAACTAGCAAGGCGATTTGCCAGAAAGGTGAGATTTCCTTTCTCATCAACATTGCTGATCAAGCCAGTAGTGTTCTTAGTATAGTGTGTGTATGCTAATGTAAAGCTATTTCTTTGGAAAAATATTAAAAAATTCAGCATCATTTAATAGGAATAAGGCCTTCAAATTAAGTTGCCTCTTCTCAAAGTGCAGACACTAAATATTGACTTAGTATTCCCAAACTGAATGTATTGATCTGTGACTTCATGTTTGTTTCCACAGGCTGCTATTCGTGAGTCATGGTTAAATGACATGGAGCAGATTCTGGAGGAACACATTGAGGTTAGCAACGCTGCTCAGACTGAGGCTGCCGTCAAGAAACACGAAGCAATCAGTGCCGAGATCCTAGCTAGGGTGAGCAGAGTTGTCCCCCTTCTACAACTGCCCCAATTTTGCTCAGTGACACATGAGTGCTGAATACTTTAAGTTCACAAGTGCATGTTATTTAATCAGACTTCCAGGTCCAGCTCACTGCTTCTACAGCCTTTTGATTTAAATATTACCTTCATGCAGCTTTTGACCACATCGAATCATGGTGAGATGAATGTTTTAGTTTTTCTTCTTCTCAAATTACAGAAAGACAGATTCCGAGCTCTTAATAGTCTTGCTAAGGAACTTGTTCAGGGAAATTACCATGCCAAAGATGCTGTGAAAAACAGGTAAGTTAAATTTGGTTGTTTCTTTTCTTGATGCTAGCTTAGCTTTGAGTCAACACTTCATAAAAGTGCACTGTTTCACTCATCATATGGTTAGGATGCTGCTAGACGTCTTCTGGAATATATTTCTCTTTTTCGAAATGTTCAATGGGAAATACTTGGTGCTGTGTAAGTTTTATTATCCCCCGCCCAAAAAAGTTGGCGGGGGATATAGAAACGGGCCCCGTCCGTCTGTCACGTTTCGTTTCCGGAGCATAACTCATAAACCATTGAATATTTTGTCATCAAACTTTGCAGGTCTGTCAGGTACATGCTGAACTGGTGCCTTTTGCTATTTAGAAATTTTAGAAATTTTTATTTTGTTACGTTTCCATGGCAGCAAGATGGACTTAGGTTCCAAACTCTTCTTTTTTTTTTACAATTTCCATGACAAGTTCCACCTCGGTTAAAAAAGGTTAGGGTTTGTTTGGATTTAATTATGTGATAAATTCTGCAACAGGGGTGGGGGATATAGCCACACTAGTGGCAAACTCTTGTTTATCTTATGTTTTATTACCTAGATTTGTCACTATCCATTTCATTCTCACGTCCTCATGAAGATGCGAGTTAGAATTCGTCTTCTGCATCCCATGCTTGTTGCAAGAGGCGACTAACGGGACCAGATTATTTACAGACGTCTGTCATATAGCTGGAACATTGCTGTGACATTACACAATCGAACAAACAAACACTATCCATGTGTAAACAATTAATTAGAGGGTTAGGAGTTCACTTTTCAAATTGTCTACTGGACTGTGTGTATATGGTGAGCAGCAGTTAATAATGTTATTGCATCAATTTGGTTTCATCAGTCACCCAACAATACATATTTAGAAGAAAAATCAAAGAAGAAGAATGTGGAAGAAATCTGTAAAAGTTTGTATTTTCATTGTCAAATGATTTTAACAGGTTTAGGACTTAGGATTTGAGTAGCTATTCATTGTCTCGCCATGGATGTGTGTATAATGTGTGTCCATGCTCCTCTAGGGACTCCGAGATCATGCTGCGATGGAAACGTCTCCTTGACCAACTGGATGGCCGCAAGAGGACACTGTCCGGCTACAACAACATGATGTCCATCTTCCGCGAGATTGAGAGCATACAGGAAGAACTCAAGGAAGTCGAGGTCAGTCGCTCACTCATCTCAACACTGGTTAACCCCTGTGGGATTAACAAAAGGTCCCTAGTAATTCATGTTCGTCATAAGACAACTAAAATGGGGTATTGGTAGTGAGGTTATGTAACAGCTTGTGTTTCATTATACCCTTGTCTAGACTCAATTATTTGCAGTCCACTGGCCTGACAAACAACAATAATTGCAAATTAAGTGGTAGAAATTAACATTTTTAGTCAACTAGTCCTGATAATGATAACATATAGCAAAACCCTTTAAAATGGCAAATTTCTGCTAGTCCTTATGATACCTTAACTATTGGACAGTTTGGCAAGGACTACAGGACTAGTGCCAATTTCTAAAGTTGAAATTGTAAAGCTATGTCTCATCATGCATGTTTATCAGCTGCAAAAATGAAGGAAGAAGATGCCATTGGCACTTTAATGTAATAAACTATGTTGGGTTTCCAAGATCAGTGGGCAATGTGCTGTGTACAACGACCAGCATTTGTCTGTTACATGGATGACTTTCTATTGCTAACATTGTCAGAACCCAATGATAATTTAAGCCTGTAATGTTGATGTGATGATTACAGCACATATCTCACGTTTGATAAGTATGTACCAAAGACAATGGATCTATAGAAATATAAATAATGATAGTCTTCCTCCCCTGATGACTTGAGGCCCATTGAGACCCACTGATTACCTGGTACCGGACACAGACTACAGGTGTTGTATGTCAGTCTGTTATCTCGCAGTCAGGAAAATTGGGGCCAGATTACCTGTTACAGGAGAAGTGCGGCAGGGATACAACAGCTTGGGGACATTTAATCCATCATCAACAGATTCACTTAAGTGCACTATCTGGTAATGAGTCTACTGCCAGCCCAGCTCTTCTGGAGCTTCCTAGTTTTCTACTAAAGCAGTTTTTAATTTTCATTTAATATTTTATTTTGCATTATTCATTGCGGTCAATCAATACAGGTTTCTTTACCAAGTTTACAAGTTTGTGTTTGTTTTATTATTTTATATGGATGTGTGGTTTATAACTGAATAAAAACTCACTTTGGAAAAAGAGGGAAGATAAATAGTTACTCCCATGTATTCCACCTCTGTTTTGATGCCAGTGACCTTCACGTTTTGTCCTGTGTCACTATGAGATAATACAAAGCTGTGTCCAATTTCACAATTTCACCGCTTCCATGGTCTAGTGGTAGAGCGTCTGCCCAGAGATCGGAAGTTCATTTTCAATCCCCAGCAGCGTCATACAAAAGATTGTACTTGTTGTTACCCTGCCTGGCGCTGGGCATTAAGGGGCTAAAACAAGGACTTAACCGCTGAGAGTCAGTCTACTGTGTCTGTGTGGGGTATACATATTAAACTGTGGTGTGGTGTCTCATGGTGTCCCCAGCACTATAAGATCGGAATTAGTCTGGATTAGTACAAACAGATGCATACATGCACCCACACGCACACGCACACGCACACGCACACACACACGTACGTGTATGCCCGTAGCTAATGCAATAATCTTTAACGCGATGTTAAACCTCATTTCACTAACAATATGGCAACCAGACTTTATGGCCATCTGCTTTAGATCTGGCAGAAGTTCATCATCGCTCACAATCTTTGTAGATGAAAGTACCCTCGTGAAGATCCAGGGTAGAATAGGTCTTCAGCAACCCATGCTTGCAATAATAGGCGAATATCCCAATTGCACGGATTGATGCTCATGATGTCAATTACTGGATCGTCTGTTCCAGACTCCCTTTTTTTACAGACCGCCATCATATAGCTGGAATATTGCTGCGCGCAGTGTTTAACAACAAACAAACAAAACAATAGATAAAACTGACGAATAGCTTTACAAATCAAACCTTAGCATTTTGAACAAATTTTCTACAGAGCTACAAAAATAAGCGCGCCCAAAGCACACCCTGCTCGGGTGAGTCATCCATGCACAAGAAGACTGTGTCAAGCTTATTGAAAATTATTTTATTACCAAATTAATTAATTGGACATCTTGTCATTGACTTTAGTAAAGCTCTTAATCTTCATTATCCCTAATGGGGACAAGCTAGCCAGTTTAGAGCAGTTGCTGTAATCAGCAGGCATCAGTGTTGGGATATGCTGCCATTAGTGAAGCCTTTAAGATATCATGTTATATTGATCTGATATGACTGCACAGGATGACACTCCTGTAAGTCGGATGTTAAGCCAGAAAAAGATGTCTATCGTAGTTTCTTTACTATTATCGCAATTCCAGGCACAGCAGCTCCCCAGAATCCCTCGCTTTTCTCAACAGAAGATTACAATGAGGATTGGGCAGCCACAGTATATGGCCTGGTTGATTGTGAGACACAATACCCTAAAGTTGCCCAGTGCAGAGTTATATCCCTTTGTTGTGCCAGGACCTGCTGGTCATGGGTTCGAATCCAAGATTTGCTCTGATAATGATCTGATTTGTCTGCACCAGACCCATTCTGAGGGATTTTACCAAACATCAGCAACATGCATTATTTTTGGCTTTACTCCCAGCGGACACTGTGATATGAAACTGTGTTTTCCTTCAAGTGTCCTAGATGGTGGGAACGTTCTTAAGATTGTAGAGATACAGCTTTTCTTCTCAATGAGCAGCCCTAACTAGCAGCTAGTAACTCATGTAGGTGTGTATTGGTTTCAGGATTTCTATGATTTGGGGATATTGTTCCTTTGTCTGAGTTGATATTCACAATAATATTCCCCCACAAAGGAGTCAGTCATAATAAGTTGGCCATCATATTGTATCGCCTCTCCATAACATTTTCACTAGCCTGTGTCAGTATGTCTATGAATTGGTTATCAGGCAATGACTTTTGAAAATATAGAGCGAGCGGCCGGGGATGTTTTTTATTTTTTATTTTTTTACTTTATTTTTTTTTGCTTGTTCAAACTAGTATGTCATCAGATAAACAGTTGTGTACCATCAACCTGGGAAAGGGCCGCCCTACATAGATAAGCATACAAACTCCTATTGCCGCCATGACCATAACACGAGATGCACAGTAAAGCAGTGCGCATGTTACTGCAAGCTATATTGTATCGCCTTGTTTTTAAGTATTAGAATTTGTTTTTTGTTTTTTAAAATGGGAATTAAAACGAGACGTGAGGCAGACTTTGTTATGATGCGGGCGGTGCCTTGTGAACCAAGACGATTATTTTATATGTTTTTGCCTAATGAGGTGGGTTACATTGTCAGAGCACCGCCCAGTTAACTCAAATCATGATTGGTATTCGTAATTCAAAGTATCATAAGACCTTTTCTGTGATGCTTTACTGACATAGTTGATGACGTCTTTCCCCTCAGAATAAGGTGAAGGTCTCTGACTACGGCAAGCACCTACAGGGCACGGAAGACTTTCTCCAGCAGCACAGTCTACATGAAGCACAGCTCCAGGCCCTTGCTAAGAGAGCCCGCAAGTTGAACCGACGGTCAACACAGTTTGCAGATGAGGGCAGCAGAGAGGCTGCTCATTTAGATAAGCGATTAGGCAAACTCAATCAGGAACTAGACAGGTTTGTTTGTTTCACAGAAAACACTCAGTGAGTGTTCCCTTGAGCTCATTAAGCCTTTACCACAAAGACCAGATTTAGTAAACAATCAGGTGATTGCTTGTCAGAAAGTTAAAGATTGGGGATGATTAGACTGTGTACACAAGACACGAAACAAGTGTTGATATTTACGTCAAGATATTGACGTCAAGCATCAATATTCCGTGAGAAGAGTTTCATTAAACAACAAACAAACATCTATCCATTAAGTCATTGCAAATTACCCCCCTGGGGATTCTGGGTTAGAATTTGTCCGCAGCAACGTATGTTGTTGTAAGAGGCGACTAAATGGATCAGGTGATCAGACTGAGAATCAGATTATTGCGTGTCATCGTACCCTGACAGCATTGATTGGTGCTTATAATATCAATCACTCGATTGTCTGGTCCAGACTTGAAATATTTCAGGTTGCCGTTAAACAGCTGGAATATTGCTGAGTGCTGTGTCAAACAAACAAACGTCAAAAACTGCTTTTATGTTTGGTTTGTTAACAAATAACATATTTTTTGGAATGCTTGTAAACTTAATTCAAGCTATGATGTCTTCTGACTACATGATGGTATTATTTTTGGATTTTTTCTTAAAGTAATGCCCATGATGGCATGTCCTTGAAGACAGACATATTTATTAAATTATTTAAAAAGAAGCTGATTCAAGTTTCATAATTAGTTTTGTTTTTAATCAAAAAGTAATTTAATTTGAGTATGATAAGGTGTATAGGATGAGTGAGTGAGTATGGTTTTATGCCGCTTTTAGCAATATTCCAGCAATATCAGGGGACACCAGAAATGGGCTTCACACAATTTACCAATGTCGGGATTCATACCCGGGTCTTCGGTGTGGCGAGCGAATGCTTTAACCGCTAGGCTCCCTGACCACCCCGTTTATAGCATGAAAATACCACAGTGGCACAGTAGTTCAGTAGCCACTGTGTCCCCTCATCCAATTGAATGCCTAGGTTTGATTCCTGAGTACAAAATGTAAAAATGTTTTTGTTTTCTAATGGAATATTGGTATTTTATTGCTGAAAAAACAATTCCGACTCTCGTCCTTAATCTACAAGGTATCCCTTTCTTAAAAGCAGCTTTAACAGCTGTCATATAGTTGGAATATTGCTGAGTGTTGCATTAAACAACGAAAAATCGAAAAAAATAAAAGCAGCATTAACACTTTTCACTTACAAGTGAGAGAGTGAGTTGGGTTTGACGCCGCTTTGAACAGTATTCCAGTTGTATCACAGCATGTCACTTGGAAGGAAAACCCTAAGTGATGCAGGTCTTAGACATTTACCCCTATGATGAAACCCAGGAGCATGGGTATGGTGCTGACACACCTAGGAACATGTAAAGAGACTCTGGTGATGACTGGAAGTGTGTTTGCAGAGTGCAGAACGTGAGTGATGTCCGCCGGAAGGGTCTGGAGGTGGCAAAGGCCTACTACCAGTTCCTCCAGGACTCAGAGGAGGAGGAGAGATGGGTGGCAGAGCGCATCGAGGAAGCCAAATCTACCAACACAGGCAAGGACCTCACTTCAGGACTCAAGCTGCTTAAGAAACATGAGGTGAGGCAACACTTGGTCGTCATAGAGAGTCCGATCTTCAGAGGTAACTCGCCTAAATAAGAAACTGTGGCGGGAGGGAGTTTATGAACAATAGTCAGAGGAGGTTCATCTTTCCCCGAATGGTGCCCCATGTGTTGTCATGCATTGTGGCTACATGGTGGGCTAAGGTGGCTCATTGCTGCTTTGTGTCAACAATAACTGAATGGTTGCTCATAATGAGACACTCTGTGAAGAACCTGGCTAGCATTAGTCCAGCAACCAACCTGTTCCATTACCCATGAAGGCTCAGAATAGGTCTTCAGCAACCCATGCTTGACGTAATAGGCGACTATGCTTGTCGTAATGGGCAACTAACGGGATTGGGTGGTCAGACTTGCTGTCTTGGATGATGCATGTCATTGTATCCGAATTGTGTAGATCAATGGTCATGATGTAAATCACTTGATTGTCTGGTCCAGATTTGGTTATTTACAGACCACCTCTATGTGGCTTTAATATTGCTGAGTGTGGCATTAGACAACAAACAAGCAAAGACAAACAGAACGAGAGCATCTGAGTTTGTGTCATTGTGAGGTTGGATTGTTGCTTACAATCGGCCTCTGTTTTGGTTGACTGCAGCCTGGTTAAGTAAGAGGTTGCCATGATACTGTTGTGCCAATGTGTCTAGCTCTACTCACTCACTCACTTACTCACATTCCTCTTGTAGGGCATGGAAGCAGAAATGCAAGGAAGATGGCGGCGTTGTGAGCAGATTTGTGCTGTGGGGCAGGACCTAGTGAATGGAGGCCACAAAGCCCGGTCGGAGATCGGGTCTCGCATCAAGAGCCTCATGGACAAGTGGAAGCAGCTACAAGAACTGGCCCGCATCCGACGTACAAGGCTTGAGGATGCCATCGAGGCACAGCAGTATTACGCCGATGCTGATGAGGCGGAGTCATGGATGAGGGAGAAGATGCCGATTGTTTGTAGTGATGACCATGGCAAGGATGAAGCCAGTGCACAGGTGAGAATATAGCCCTTTACATTACCAGTACCTTTGCTAATGATGAAACCAGTGCACAGGTGTGAATATGGCCCTTTACATTACCAGTACCTTTGGTAAGGATGAGGCCAGTGCACAGGTGAGAATATAGCCCTTTACATTACCAGTACCTTTGCTAATGATGAAACCAGTGCACTGGTGTGAATATAGCCCTTTACATTACCAGTACCTTTGCTAATGATGAAACCAGTGCACAAGTGTGAATATGGCCCTTTACATTACCAGTACCTTTGCTAATGATGAAACCAGTGCACAGGTGAGAATATGGCTCTTTACATTACCAGTACCTTTGCTAAGGATGAAACCAGTGCACAGGTGAGAATATAGCCCTTTACATTACCAGTACCTTTGCTAATGATGAAACCAGTGCACAGGTGAGAATATGGCCCTTTACATTACCAGTACCTTTGGTAAGGATGAAGCCAGTGCATAGGTGAGAATATAGCCCTTTACATTACCAGTACCTTTGGCAAGGATGAAACCAGTGCACAGGTGAGAATATAGCCCTTTACATTACCAGTACCTTTGGCAAGGATGAAGCCAGTGCACAGGTGAGAATATGGCCCCTTACGTTACTTCTCCTATTATGTTACAAATACTGGCTGGGAAAACGTTCCAGCTTAAAATAGTTCATGTTGAGTTAACCAATTATGACAATGTCTTATTTCCACAGGCTCTGCTGTCTCGTCATAATCGTCTGGAGAAAGATATCAAGGCATTCAATGGAGAGATTCAGCGTCTTGAAGATCTTGCTATCCTCATGACCAAAGCTGCCAGTGAGCATAATGTAAGTCAATACTTTCTATTTCTTTGACTGGCAATAATTGCTTTGCTTACCTCTGTTGCATCATAGCCATAACTTCCTGTTTGGGCTGTAATCACTCTATAAAATCCTTAGATTTTTCAATAGACATCCTCTTCACTGCCAACACAGCTAATAGTTGTGAGGCAAATCCTATCAATAACTTTCAATTTCTGAGCAGTTGCAGCTTCTAATGTCATGCCCATACCTTATCCATGGAATGTTACATAAGTAATAGCAACTGTCTGATTTCAAGGTCATGGTAAATATTTACAAGTCATTGTGATGAGGCTGCAGCATTAAACAACATTTTACCATGACATTGAAGAATGTTTGATTCTGATTGGTTCAAAAGAGGTTTACTTTTTGCAACAGAAACCTCTTTTAAACATATTAAGCCTTTTCACACAAATAACATGCATATGAATACATCGATAGCCTACATATTAATCCATAAGAAATGGCTGCCGATCACCAATAAAAACTTTAGCCTATACCGTATCAATATTTCCTCTGTTAGATACTGGGTCTCTGATAATAGTGAAGAACTAAGGCAGTAATGGGGAGATGGGGTCGCCTAATAGTTAAAGTGTGAGCTTGGCATGCCGAATGCCCAAGTTCAATCCCCTTCGAGGGTATAAAGTGTGAAGCCAATTTCTGGTGCCCCCGTGTGCGAAATACGCTACAGTCGGAAAGCGCACGTTAAATCTTCTATATCAGTCAGTCAGTCAGTCTGGTGCCTCCTGCCCTGGTGTTGCTGGAATATTGCGTAATTGAGTGAGTGAGTGAGTGAGTATGGTTTTATGCCGCTTTAGCAATATTCCAGCAATGTCACCAGAAATGGGCTTCACACATTGTCGGGAATCGAACCCGGGTCTTCGGTGTGTTGAGCAAACGCTTTAACCAGTAGGCTACCCGACCGCCCTGAATAAAATGCATTAAATGTACTCACTCTCTCAAGAGGCAATATTTAGTAGACTACCTTGTAAATGGGTTTCTTCTCTTTGTATCAGATCTCCCCAGAGAAGTTCCGACCAGCCGAGAACGGAGAGCATGAGCCCGAGGAAGAGGAGGAGGAAGAAGTTGTGGAGGTGCCCCGAGAGATTGAGGTGGAGGAAGTGAGACAGAAGGAAGTTCTGCAGGACGTTGTGGAGACTCGGAAAATTCCTCAGGTCAAGGCCATGTATGGATATAAAGGGCAAGGCCTCAAAATTGATAAGGGAGAGGTGAGCACAAAATGTGTCTTTTTACATGTTATACATAAATGTACATTTGAACCTCATTATCTCAAATGTATCGATATCTTGAACCTATTTTCTGGTTCCAATCGCCGCACATATAAATTTGACCATTGATCTCAAATTTGAGATAAAAATACTTAGCACTATCTTGAACCAACCTTGACTGTAGAATATTGTACTTTTATCTCAAGTTGGCATTTGGCACATTAAGACTTTTGGGATGTGCAAAAAATCGTGCAGAAGAAATACAGCATGATACAGGCTGTAGAATGTGAAATGACGTCAACAGAGATCAAAAGGAATTTCAATGTCCATCAGAATAAGCTACATTGCTACAAAACGGTGGCGAGATTATGTTTCAATTTATCTTTGCAACTGATTTTGCTGGAATATTGCTAAAAGCAGTGCAAAATCTCTCTCTCTCTCTCACTCACTCACGCACTCACTCACTCACTCACTCACTCACTCACTCATTCATTGTCTTTGCATACCCCCCAACTGATTTTGCTGGAATATTGCTAAAAGCAGTGCAAAATCTCTCACTCACTCATGCACGCACGCACGCACGCACGCACGCACGCACGCACGCACGCACGCACGCACGCACGCACGCACGCACGCACGCACGCACGCATGCACGCACGCACGCACGCACGCACGCTCTCTCTCTCTCTCTCTCTCTCTCTCACTCTCTCTCACTCTCTCACTCACTCACTCACTCACTCACTCACTCACTCACTCACTCACTCACTCACTCACTCACTCACTCACTCACTCACGCTCTCACTCTCACTCACTCACTGCCATGGTTCTGTAATACTGTTACTTGTTGTCTGAATGTCCATGCCTCATTATCTCCAATGTCCCGATATTTGAAGTTACAACTAATCCCCCTAGGTTTGAGATAATACTAAATAGGTTTGAATGTATGTCCATGTTGAGCATTAAGTCTCCTTGTTTTACTTACTTGGCTTACAAGTTCTTTTTGTCAAAGCATTGATTGTAAAATAAAAATATCATGTCCCAAGTGATAATATGATTACGGTTCTGGTGGCATTTATAGGAAAGGTGAACAGTGTTGTCTGAAAGGACAAATCTTCTCTTCCCTTCCTGCATTGACATTCTTTGAAGTTTTTGATAAGTGGACAGTTAAAGGGACTATTCAGGTAATTTTATTTGAATAGTTTTGCGGATATGTACAAGTATTACAAAAATAAGTGCTAAAAAATTGTTCAAACATTTCTGTGTATAAGCACCTTTAATCTGTTAATTACAATCTCCAACTTCCCATCTTATCACTACAGATACTAATAAGCAAACCGAATAGATCTTTCCTAAATGTTGGATTGTATGTCTGATACCAAGTTGACGATAAATTACGTAAACAAACTGTATGTGGAATCTGTCAATCTCTGATTAATAGCAGGCAGATTGGCCTGGCATGGTTGAAGCACATATGTTCAAAGGTTTGTACAGATAGTTTTTTAGGTGGACTCCATCAAATCTATATCTTGGTTTGCAGGGGCAACTGCTCTTTCAGCAAGTATTTTTTTCAACACCAACTTAAAAGCTTTACGAAAATCCTTCCTGAATATCCCATAGATTAGCGGATTTACTGCACTGGATAAGTAGCCAGTTAGACTTGCTGTGAGGTTGACATAGCCTGGCAGCACATTGTCTTCATCTGCTGCTACCTTGTATAGTTTCGTGACACTGAACGGCGTCATGCAGACGAAGTAGGCCACTACGACGACCAGCAAACCATACATGGCTTTGGAGCTGGTGCTGTACTTGACCCTGACCCTTGGACTGTCAGAGACTCGAGTGATCGCTTGTTGTTTTGTTTTGATAGTTTTGAGGATTTGACAATAGCAAATGATCAGTATGAGCCCAGGTACCAAGAAACACATGATAAAAGCGATGATGACGTAGTACAGAGCTTTCTCCCGTTGTTTGTGCCACTGAATTGCACATATTGCTTCCCAGTAATCATATTTGACCCAGCGGAAGATCACTGGGACGCATCCAAACATTGATCCTTGAAACCACGAGTATGCAATCATAAGGAAGACTTTGCGCCTAGTCATGAGTAAATTATAATGCAGCGAGTGTACTATTGCGATGTAGCGGTCCACGCTGATGAAGCACAGGTTGAGCATGGACACGATGATCATGCAGTAGTTGACGTAACACACAATGTCACACCATGCCTGCCCCATTGGCCAACGGTCTGTACTCATGGCTACCAGAGCGGAGCCCAAGACGACCACAGCAGAGGTGAGGTCTGTGATGCTTAGGTTGACGATGAACATGTTGGAAATCTCCTCCTTAAGTCTGTGACTCGTATAGATGGCAAATATGACGGCCGTGTTGCCGGTGATGGCGATGAGGATTATTAAGAATATGAGGACAGAGAGCAGACCGATCTCCACCCTACTTCTCTCTGTTTCTGTGAGATCACTTGCATCAATTGTTGTCAGATTCATGACATACGGCTTTCTTTCATCTGTGGTCGTGTCCAGACAGATTAGTTTTTCACTTCAGAACAGTTGGTAGGATCTGCCTGCCTTGAAGCCTCTTTAACTGTGGGTAGGTTGTTTATCCATGTTTTGTCTGAAATGGCAAACATATGGTGTCACTGCATCTTCACAAATTAGTCAAATGGTAAGACATGATTCGTGTCAGTGGATGTGCTATAATTGTTGTACACATTTAGGAGCCCCAACCCTGGATGTCAAACTTGCAATCTATGTCAGCAAAAGGAATGGTTAGTTTTAGGTGTCCCAAGTCACCATGGTGCTCTATCTTACCTCCATGTCAGAATGTTGAGATCTTATTGGTTCACATGGTCTTGTTAAATTACTATGTTATCCGCCTGGGATGGAAATATATTCATAAGCAAGACAGTAAATCCCATATACCCTTCCAAAATGAAAATAGGTTGCACATGGATTTGTGAGCAGGACAATAAATCTCTTGCAGTCTGCTACAAAGCAAAAAGTTGCCCTTTGTTTACAAGCCAATGAGTTACTGCTTAAGCTATATCAGGTCAATCAACCAGCTGTTTTCTATCTGTTTTCAAATGATTTTAATTCTTTATCAGTGGCAGATGGAAGCATGTCGGCAAGATAAATTCACGAATGCATTATGAGGCGAATACTATTCCTATCACGAATATAGAGTAACAAATACGAATATTAATTCACGAATACAATATCAAGTCAGCAGTTGATGTATTATTTGTTATATTCAGTGAAACAATAAACATAAAGTTTTAACATGGTTTGTTAATTATTAAGATATTAAACATTCATATACTGCCTTTATCCAGGTACTAGTATCTGCTCAAATGCGACAGTGACCAGTGACCACAATACTGTCAAATTAAATATTATAAGAGTGTTGTTTTTGAAGAAATCTATGCATATAATATAATATGTTCTTATGGACATTTCTAGGTACAGGGTATGTAAATGCACATGATTGCATATTCATAAATATTCTAGTAGCCACGAATAACAAATTCAATTTATGAATGGATACGGTTCGATTTACTGAAAACCCGAGTTAATCGTAACAGCCCTAATGGACAGAGAGGTTAGACACAAGTCATATTCCATTTCTTTCTCCTGTTACCTTTGAATGCTTGTAAGAAGCATATTTATAAATCAGTGAAGGATAGATAAATATATTCCATTTTTTCCTGCTCTTGGAAGTAATATTGGACCCGTGAAGATCCAGGTAGAATAGGTCTTCAGCAACCGTTGCCTGCCGTAAAAGGCAACTGCTTGTCGTAAGAGGCGACTAACGGGATCAGGTGGTCAGATTCACTCACTTGGTTGATACATGTCATCCTAATTGCATGGATCGATGCTCATGATGTCAGTCACTGGATTGTCTGGTCCAGACTTGATTATTTACAGACCACCATCATATAGCTGGAATATTGCTTAGTGCGGCGTTAAACAACAAACAAAGGAAAGGAATGGAAGTAATATTGATTTTATGAACTTGTGTCTGGTCACATTTTGGTTGGTGATGATGAGGTGTTATGACAAGTGGTATGACAAGTGGTATGACAGTCAGGAGATGGCATGACACCATGCTTAACTTGAGTAAAGGGTCATTGACACATGTGCAGTGAGAACAACAGTGAGAACAGGCCTGGGGTTGACACTGATGGGTTACAAAAATAAGAATGAGTTTGTCCACAGAGGCTGGGTATAAAATCATCATTGACTGGAAGCTGACAGACTGAAGTGAAACGTAGCAGTCTTGTTCTGTTTGGGATTGGTAAATCAGTTCGCAATGAATATGGATGAATTTGTAACTTTTACATACATAGTGTATGGATACATTAACATGTTAGGTTTTTTAATTCTTAGCTTGTCTATAGAATGTCATATATAAGGACCAGCAGAAGCCCGAATCCCGGTTCGCCCGGATTATGTTTCTAGGTTTGTCAGCACCATACCTGTGCTTGGGGGTTTCACCAAAGTGGTAAACGTCTGAGACCTGCATCACTTCTGGCTTTCCTCCCACATTAAGCTGATACACTGTGATATAACTGTAATACTGTTAAAAGCGGCGTTAAACCCAACTCACTCACTCACTCACTTCATATTCAGAACTATGGGTGATGCCAAACTATGGGAGATACCGTTCCCCACAACTGGTGCTTCAACAAATAAGCTGGTCAGATTCACACGTAACACAAAATGTCCAAGAAATATGTTATCTTTGCTCATAAGGTTATTTCTTTTTGAGAATGTACAATATTTCCAATAGGTTAAAATGAATTTAAGTTGTAATTGAAGGGTTTTATCCTTCTAGCCAAGGGTAAACAAACTTCAAGAGTATAAATTATTTTCTGAAACTAGATTATGATGAAAAGATAACCAACTCCATTACTTTTTGTCTGAAAGAAATTTTGTTTCATTGTTTTATATCTCTGCCTATCAACAATATTTTGATGAAATCACTTTAGGATAATTGTTTTTGTAATTTCTTTTTTCATCAGTGTTTCCGATGTGAAAACCAATCCAATAATCTTGGCATCTCTAGCCATTAAATATGCAAATGCAGTTTGCAAGCGTGAACTTCTTTTGTTAGCTGTCTATATCAACATCAGAATCAGATGTTAAAATAGGACGTAACACCTAGAAAGAAATTAACGCCTGCCTTGACATCTGATGACACTCTCTGACAACAGATATTTGTTAGACTATTGAAAAACCTTTCAGCAAACGTCTCTAAGAACAAATATACACCTACCTCGACTAAACACTGGGACTAAGCACCGTTTGATACAAGCTTCTGACTCTTATTGAAGGATTTGCTCTGGTACAGCTGTCTCCGTGTCATGGTGATACCCCATTGTGCAAGAAGATTAATACTGTGTTTTTGCCCCTTATCAAAAGATTGTTGGAAGATGAATCAATACAGCTCAAGTCTAAGCATAGACATTATCATGAAGGGAGCCAGGAGGATTAACTGATAAACCTTCATGCTTGGCTTGTTTTTCATGAAAGAAACATTCAATCAAACATTGGAAAATACAGTTTCCAGTTCCAATCAATCAGTGTGATGTATTGTGTTGTGAACAATATTGGCAACGAGCACGGTAGATTAAACAAAAGGAAGTCTTATGTAAATGAACATTGACCGTTCCCATCTCAAACAAATGTAGTTTCTAATCATTTACATGTTGTGATAGTGATATTTTTCATGTTATTAAAACTGTGGAAACATCTGTTTCACCAAATGGTAAACGCCAAAGACTGGCATCACTTGGGGCTTTCCTCCCACATCAAGCTGACACGCTGTGATACAACTAGAATACTGTTTAAAGCAGCTCTAAGACCCAATTTCCTCGCTTATTAGTTCAAGTCCATGGTTGCTTGCATGTCATTGTCTGTATCCTAGTATTCCGTGGACCAGTGCTTCTGATGTCATGGTCATATAGTTGGAATATTGCTGAGTGAGGTTGTAAATAACTAATTGTTATATCCACTGACAGGGCACTCAAGTCCTTTGTATAGAAATCAAGTCCATGATATCCATCTGTAGACTATGTGAGCAAAAAGGTCTTGCTGCCATTACTCTTGACAGCACACAACAGAAGTTGTTTGTCTCATAACAGTGGATAAATGCAACTTATAAAATACCTTAAAGGGGAAGTGTACACGCAAAAATCACTTTCTTTCTTTTTCTAAACAAAACGCAATTTTAGAATTAGTTAGTATCTGTGTTTGAAAATATACACTCATTTTTTTCACAGTGAAAGTAGGAAGCTCACAATAGTGTGAAAATGATATGCCGTTATGAGGCCTTCGTTTTTCGAGCTAAACAGGCCTGAGTTATCCCCCTTAGATTATGACGTAATTGGTGCCAATTCAACTTGGTCCCTGTCTATTCTGAACGCAAAAGATATCAAGTACAAGTTTTCGGTAAAACAACATGGCCTACGACACACTCCGGCGCAGTGGTGACTCAGCATAACACTATGCTGGCTGGCATCTGAGACGCTAGAATCATACACCTGTACCTACACCACGTGAAGCGGCTCTAACAAAGCATGATGACGTCATAATGTTTATCAATTGGCACCAATGACGTCATATTGCAAGGGGCATAAGCCATGGTGTTTTTGTTATGGAAATAGAACACTTGGTAAATGTGAAAAATATAAATCGTTTTAATGCAAAACATATGTTAATTAATTGTGATATTTTTATATTTTTGTCTATGACACTTCTAGGTTAACACTTTTATTGTGGAAAAAGTACAAGAAAATTAGGTTCATTTTCGTGTGAACTTGCCCTTTAAGGATTCAGGATTCTACTTTGGAATAAGGACAACAAAGGGCTTGCCATAAGCTCCAAGTTGATAATTGGCTTGTTTGCTGCATCCATCCCTCATCCTAATGTTTAAACAAGATCAGGGATGCCTCAGCATGATCATTTTCACCTCTGGCAACCTACTTTCTTTACAAAAATAATTATGCTTGCCTTTAGAAGCCCTTGAAGATCTGGGTTAGAATACGTATTCAGCAACTCATGCTTATCGTATGAGGCAAATATGCTTGTAAGAGGCAACTAACAGGATAGAGTGGTCAGGCTCGCTGACTTAGCTGATGCATGTCATCGTATGCCAATTGCGTAGAGCAATGCTCATTATGTCAATTACTGGATTGTCTGGTCCAGATTCGATTACAGTGGTCCCTCGCTACAACGCTACCAATGGGGTCCAAATAATTGGTGGGCGTTTTAGACGATGAGCCGTTTAACCGAGGCCGAGGCACGTCACGTCAAAATAGTATATATTTTTATGGACCTAGATCAACCTGTAATATCATTCATTTATTAAATCTGTCACATTTCACAATGTCTGAAATACGTATTCCATTTCAATTTATCATTTTTTATCGACAAATCAAAAAATTATTCACTATTTCCCGCGATGTTATTGAAAATAAAATTCTCGGACACACATTTGACAACGGGTCCGCATCGAACATGTCAAAGAGCAAAAGAAAGACGGCTGCCTGAGGTCACGTGCTCAAAATTGACCAATCACGAAACTTGTAGCAGATTTCGGCAAGAAAGCGTCATTAGAAACAAATTTTAATCCAATGAAATCGCTTGTTATAACTACGGAAAAAAACCAGGCGATGTTATGAAAGCGCCATTACGAAATGAATGACCGCCGTGTTGTGACAGCAACTACATGTGTGTGACAGTGTCGCCTCAAATTGGATTGCCCACTAATTAAGAATATAAACTTCGCTAGTGGTTCTCTTTTATTGCATGCATGCGCTTCTAAGATCAAAGGATGTATAGTGTGAAAAGTTAACTAGTTGAACAATCGTATTTCCAGGACTTGCCGCGGATGTTTTCAAACAGATTATTAGAACTCCATTCAGCGATAAACGGTTGATTATGCAATGAGAAGCGTTATGTGCAAATGAACAACGAACAGCAATACAATCACGGATGTGTAAAACTCTCAGTATTAAAAGTGTACATAAATTTTGGGAGCCATGCAATACCGCGCGTAGTAACCGAGGTAGCGCTTTATCGAAGAGCCCAATAGCGAGAGATCACTGTACTTACAGACCGCCGACATAAAGCTGGAATATTGCTGAGTGTGATGTAAAACAACAAACAAACATTTCCATCAACCAACAAAAATATTCCAGGTTCACTTGACAAATTGAAAACAAGACAGGGTACTATTTTGGAGTTGGATTTGGTTGGGCAAATTAGCAGTCAATTCTAGTCATGTTGCTATTGTGGAAGTTCATCTGGATGCAACTCACAAACTGGCCATGTCATTGTATGATATTCTAGCAGAAAAACGTTCCTGTGCATCACTGGACTGTCATTGGAAATCACATAAAATCACAAACAAAGAACAATTTTCCAACAAGAATATTTTGTTGAATTCATCATGACAATGTCAACACCTTCCCTCTGTTAACATCATCTGAGGCTGCAAGTGGCATGGTGTCAATTGTATGTTCACAAGTCAGTATTGGATATCACCACCATTAGCACTGACACAAACGTGACAACGGCGCCTCAGTGAAAACACTAGATGGTTGAAGGAGGCTGTCACTTGCGTCAGTGGTTGGTTTGGAAGTCAAATGAAGTTTAATTTCACACGTTCGATTGGCTCATATCTGGCGAAACAGCAAGCCAAAGGAGTGTGGGGATGTTATGTTGTCCAATGAAGCCTATGACCACACATGAAGGTATGGGAGGGTGTGAGGAAAGATGCTGTCAAGATGAAAGCTTGACACATCTGTGAAGAGGACTAACCTCCAGTCCTGTAACCTGAACCTCAGATGTTGTCTCTACCTTCCAGTCGTGCAGTTCAATGACATGGCAGCAAAATATGACAGCTTGTTGTTGTTGTCTGACGTTAAGCTCTTGTATCTGGATAGAATAGGTCTTCAGCAACCAAGGCCTGCCGTAAATGGCGACTATGCTTATCGTGAGAGGCGACAAACGGGATCAGGGGTCAGGCACGCTGACTTTGTTGATGCATGTCATCGTATCCCAATTGCGTGGATCGATGCTCATGATGTCAGTCACAGGATTGGCTGGTCCAATCACAATTATTTATAGCTGGAATATTGCTGAGTGCAGCGTTAAACAACAAACAAATCATATAGACAGGACATAGCGTTTATGAGGTTTGGCCATTAATAATGCTGCTTTTCAAAGTTAGAACACTTTGAACATTTACATTTTGTTTGAATTGATTCAGTCAGTCCCATGTGCACAATGGCCGGTTTGCTGGGTCATCATGGGTATTTATGACAAAGTGTTTGTACGTGCTTGAATCTAAAAACTCCATGGCATTTCTATTTTAATGTGATTTTTGTGTGTGCACAGAAATTCTTTTCCTCTCTCATATTTCATGCATAGAATTGTCTCTATTTATTAGGCTCATGTTAAAATGTTATGATAACTGCAAAAGAATTCTGGTAAACCCATTTCAAATAGCACCACTCTGACATTAGGGGTGGCAACTCTTTGTTAGGTATACAAAATGGACATTGTACACACTAACACATTAGAATGACAAACTTTTTGTATTTACCTCAATATGTGCACAGGCCAACATTTTAACTCCACAATGACAAATACGACATAGGCCTAGTCAACCTGAAGATAGGGCACTCAGTGATATTACAACTATGTGACTGCAGTCAGTAAATAATCAATTATGAACCAGACCAGCATAACCTGGATGACCAATTTAGGTGCAGCGTTAGTGTGTATAATGGAGTACAAGAATAAACATACTACACAGCATAATGAATATTTTATTATGTGCTTGTCAGCTAACAACAATAATACCATTTTCTAAAATGTTCATGAATCTCGTGATGGCTGATAGGTTTCTGTTGAAATGTCACTCAAATTTGGAAAATGCTTTGGATTTGATAGGATGGTTTACATGAACAGATACCTACAAACCCACTCGTGGTGTTTTGAACTTTTGGGGGGTGATAAAAGATTGGTCTTTGTCCTAAGTGGGGGTAAGGATGGATGTCAACAGTCAATTATTCTGACATTGACAAAAGAATTGTCATAAAATATGAGACGAGGGTCATCATACTATACTACTCAACCTTTGACAGGGATATTTTAAATTATTTTCTTGACTCCTCTTATGTCATAATACTGTAAATCGTGAAATTAATGCGTCTCCAAAAGAATGCAACCCCTGGCCCCTAGTAAAAAATGCGACTCAATATGAATGCGACACCCCATCCTCTCAAGGCGTCTGTTTGGACATGCAGGTGTGATCAGTGATGACATAAGTGAGTAGAACTCTTGTCTTGACCCTAGCAGTGACAATTCACAGGATGTAATTAGTGTCTGCATGACATTGTTTATATCGTGATGTGGAGTGATGCTCAATAAACAGGGATATGGAATACATAGTTGTTGTTTTCAGCATATGTCTAAGTTGTTATATCTGTCTTATTGTTGATATGAATGCGATGTTTAATAATGCGAGCAAAGGCCACTCGCATTTTTAAAAATTTAAATCACGCTCGCGTTACTTTCAAGATTTACAGTATGTAGATGTAATAGTATGAAGTATTTAAGTATCCTTATCAAAAGTGGAGTAGTATGTTTTGAGACGTTGTTACTTGTTTCCTATGTGATATTTTGCATACACAATAAGCAATAGATGTGATGCACATAGTTTCCAGAAATATTTAATTAAAATTAAATTAAATAGAGGCTGAGTATTTATCAGTCCAATCACGCTGGTTTACACAAGAGTGACACAAACCAGTACTTGAACAAGGGAGATAGCTCTTTGTATATAGGACGTCTTTATTACAGTGAATGTGACACTTTGATGTAGATCCTATCACCGTTATCAAGCAAGTGATGTACAGAAATGTGAAGTTGGAGGGTTATGTACATGTGGATAACCTTCCAACATCACATTTGTGTTCATCAATTGCTTGATAACGGTGTTAGTATCTACACCGTAGTGTGGCATTCATTGTAATAAAAAAGGAACTTCTATAGGTCGCTTTAAGAAGTAAACCAGTACATACAGTGCCTGGGCCTGGAAGTGGACATCAGAGCATGGAGAACATGTAGTCCACTTGAAGAAAGTCAAAAAGCAACTTCTGTTGGCTTATGTGGCATGTACAACCATCCAGGAAGGATAACGTTTACTGATTGTTTGACGATTTGACTTCCGTATTGCCCAGTAATCTTGTTCCTTGATCCAACTGATATGAACATGAACTGCCAGTTTATGAATCAATTTATCATACATCCATGTCAGAATGATGAGATCTCATTGGTCCACATGATCTTGATAAAATACTATTGATAATAAATTTCTCAACAGGAGAATAAATCCCTTATACCCCGCCACGAGGAAGACAGGCTGCACGTGGATTTCTGTGAGGCAGAATAAATCCCTCATACCCCATGCTTTTTCTGAGTCAGTAAAAAGCCACATGACATAACACAAGCTACCCTCCGCTCAATCAAACAGCCTTTTTCTATCAATTTTGAAGTTGTTTTTGTTCTTTTACAATGTCATGAAAACATGTCGGTAAGATCAATTCGCTGTAGGAGGATCACACAGGGTACATGGGGTTTTATTCGTCCCTCATTAGGTTAAACTTATACCACTCGCCTCCGGCTCGTGACTTTGCTGCACTATGTACTGATTCACCATAGTTGTTCACCAGATAAAGGGACAGGACATTTTTCAAGTTAAAGACTTTATGACTATTCTCTCAAACCAAAATAATACTTCCACTGAATGTCATTGGGATCCACTGCCTTGTCCCTGGCAGGCAACATCTCATGGATATTGTGGGCAGGATACGAGAAGGTAATGACACACAGGATAGTTTAGAAGCAGGTGTTTTTGCTATGATGACTCTGAGCTACTTCCATGATGAGACAATTTGACTGATGTCATGGGAGGAGGAGGCGACACGTTTCCAGATGTGTCGGTTGCCTTGAGACAACTAATGGATTACTGGATGAACTCTGTCTTTAAATATGATGGCGATTATGTTCTTCTTGTGAACTCACTTAAACAATTTGTTGATAAGTAATGTCTCAAAGTCTAATCCAGTTATAGCGAGATTAATAGCAAACTTGAACTTTGCACTATCGGATGTACTCACTCACTCACTACAGGACAGAGATACTCTTCCTCTCAAACACTCTTCACTCGCTCTCGGACACACTCACTCTTGCACATACATGTTCTCTTTCTCCAACACGCTCACTCAATTTGAGACACACTCACTCACTACCAGACACACTCTCTCTCAGACTCACTCACTCACTCACTCACTCATACCACCCACTAACTCACCCTCCCACTCGCTCACTCAATCCTCTCCTCTCTCATGTTGCAGATTCTGATCCTCCTACAGAGGACGAACAATGACTGGTGGCAGGTGCGGAAGGCTGACAACACTGAGGGGTTTGTTCCAGCCAACTACGTGAAGGAAGTGGACCCCAAGGTGGTACAGAAGGTGGTCAAGCACCCTGTGCAAGTGCCAGAACGCATCAAAGTCAAGAAGACAGTCATGCAGAAGGAAGTTGTCAGAAAGAAGTCAGACAAGGCAGCAAAACTGCGACGAGCTCCTTCAGGTAAAGTTAACAAATATCTCAAATTTTCTGTAAGTTTATCAAATATTCCTACCCATTTTTTCATCTATGAATTGGCATTGAGGTAATAAGGTGTGGGTAACCTATATAATTTACCTGTTCACATTTTCAGTGAGATCAAAGGCCAATCTCCACTTTGACAAGGATAACGTAGAGACAAGACAAAGGAGCATCAATGTCCTCTACTCCAAACTCACCAAACTGGCACAGGTAAGTAGTCATGTGTTTTATGTATGCCTCTTGAACGGCCCTGTGGGGATTCTGTGGCAGAAAACAACCCCAGTAAGAACTGTATGTGATAAGGATCACATTATGTATCACCTGGGTGAGTGTGAATCACCTCCGATGGACATCAAACTGTTGAAAACCTTATGTTTTCATATAATTAAGGTAATTCCTGCAAATACATCTATTACATCATTGCCATAAATTCATTAATATTTTGCTGTTTTCACAGCATAAAATCTCTAGATTTACAACAGAAGTCCTCTTCACTCTGAAGTATCCATAATCAGTTGTTCAGGAAATAGTATGTTGCTACCGCTTGTGTATGACAGGACATCAACTGGGTAACAGGCAGCTATGATGTAGCTCGCTCACTCACTCACTCACTCACTCACTCACTCACTCACTCACTCACTCACTCACTCACTCACTCACTCACTCACTCACTCACTCACTCACTCACTCACTCACTCACTCACTCATGGATTGGTGGGGTGGTGGTGTAGTATTGTGTCCAAAGTAATATTTCATCATACGAAGACCCAGTGCAGAAGAACCCAGGCTAATCTTGCCAAAAGAAGAATTTAGGTTCAAGTTTCTAGGGGGATAATATGGCTGTGTGGGTTATTGTTGGCACGGGTACTACAAATACATACCGTATTCGACCCAATAAGTCAAATTGGCGTAAATTCATCAGTAAGCCTTACCGTATTTTCTTGAGAATAGTGCGCACTTTTTTTTCCAAAAAACACAGCTGTGTAGAAGGGGGTGCGCATTATACACGAATTAATGAGTTTTGATGTTTTTTCCCCCATGGAAAGACATTACTGTGAGCATGTAACACCGGAAATACCATGTCAACAAATCCATACTGAAGTTTGCAAATTATTCATTTAATTACACTGTCTGGCTATAAAAAGTGTTCTTTGTATATCTGGACTTATGTTTGTAACTTTTTTCATTAATTTTATTCAAAATTCCTTTTAATATTGTTTTAATTAATTTCGGCGAAATCGTGTGTGAAGCGATCGGAAGATCGCTCAACTCACCGTTATTAACAGCAACCACGGTCTGATTACCGCTATTGACACCTTGAAACGAACTTTAGTTTACAGAGAATGGATACATATATCATAAATGCCATACTTTGATTCGTTAAAAGTCATATTTGTTTTTGTTGGACGATTCTATGTCAACACGTAATACTCGCGATCACGCGATCACGTGCACGGGAGTCTTGATGGTGCCTGGTCAGACTGGTTCCATGTAAAAAATAATACCCGGCAATAGCGATCAGCTGCTTCGCTTAGGGTTATTATTATTTTAAATATGTTTAGTAAAAGCTGCATCTAAATTAACAAGATATTGGAATATATTATTCCTGATAAAAAAATAGTTTCAGATACAACTTTTGCCGATCCTTGCATTTAAAATCCTGTAAAGTTACATCATAGGGTGTGTTTTGACCGAATCACCAGTAGATTCCAAGAAAACGTGTGTACAGCTGATTGCTGTGTCCGGCTTAGTTTATGAGAAAATGCACAAGGTAATCTTAATCCCTGGATATAAAACAATGCCTAGCTGAACAAAAAATACAATTTAAACGGTAAATCAACATGTCTGGTGATTTTTTTATCTCAAATTTCGAATTTGTACTGACGAAGTTTCTCATCACCCGTTCGTTTGCCGGACTTCCCTGAAGGGGTACGGTGTAATTTTTTTCTTGTGCATAATATTCAGTCACAAATATCTAAAATAAACAGAATACAGTCATGCCCCGCTTATACGGACTTCAAATATCCGGAAACCTCGGTTTCCAGTCGATTTTCATTTAAAACGAAATAATTACTATATAAATTTTCGGAGCCGGGGGTGGGGAGGGGGGGCGCTTATTGGGTCGAATACGGTACCCCAGATTTGTTTCTTTATACAGAAACGTACCCTAAGCAAAATCAGAATACAGAATGGTACCCGGTACCCGGTACCCGGTACCCTAAACGGCAGACGAGTCCATATCCCTCAGCCTGCAACTGGTTCATGTTGTAGTTCTGGTTCGCGTGATGACAAGTGCATGCTGGATAATGCTGTGCATTGTGAATTATCCAGATATGGACAGGAAATACCAAGAGAAAAATATTCGCGTACTGCCATGTTGAATTTTACTGGTGTTTGTCATCCAGGACATGTCGTATACCTAAGCATTCAAGGAACCGGTTTAAGCGCATTGCGCCATATGGCCTGCAGTAGGATGGACTCATCCAAGGCTACCTTTCTGTATTCTAATTGTGGCAAGGGTACATTTCTGTATACAGAAACGTTCCTGGGGTACATATCTATAGCACCTCTACGATCTCTCCAGCGAAAGTATGACCAGCTGCATTGAGTGTGCCCAGAATGGCTGGAATATTTAAGTACTATATAAGTAGCGTGAATCACTCAATCACTACTTTCGTTGCAGCCATAATGTCTATGTATGTTGTTGCTAAGGCAGAGTATCAATAACAGATCTTCACAAACTATTTCCCTCAAACAACAGAGTATATGAAGATTAAGATGAAATTGATAATACCAATATTGTCTTTAGATCTATAACTGACACAGGTTTAAATCACCATGCAATGACATCAGTAAACTGAAGGCCCACAATCAGTGACTTCAAGAAACAATGGAGACGGGACATAAACAATTATGTATCTCTGATTAGAAACAAATGCTTTTGCACAAATGAGAAGTGTTCCACGATCTTTCCATCATGGCTGTTATCATAGTGACAGGAGCATCCTTTTCTCTCTCGCTGACTTAAGAGTTTCCGCCTTATGGCTTGTCTGATCACGATGACTTAGACAGGCCAGCAATTAGTGACTGTGGGCTGTCAATGCTGCATTATTGAATGTCGAGTACACCAGTACCAGGTGTGATGTCCTGCGTTAACATTCTGGTGATGAGATGTTCACAGACAACGCATCTGAGTTTGATCTTTTCTCTCTGCCATATTGAAGCTTTTCATGTTTGAGGACATGTCTTTTGTTTGAAAGTTAAGATTTGCTAACTTGTTCTTACCAAGGCGTTATATAAAATACAATGCTTGTCCAAGTACCCAATCTGCTTTAGTGATCCTCCCAAGTATTCTTAATCTTTCGCACTGTGATGCCAATTTGCCATATCAGTTTCTTATTTTGAAATTCACACAAAATTATTGAAAAATGAATTAATGTCTATTTCCTTCACAACCCATCTCAAAAGGGTATTTCCTGTTTTACATGGTCAGTCCCTGTGTTCCTTCCATACTGGGTCCTTCCATACCGATCCTTCCATACTGGTCCTTCCATACTGGTCCTTCCATACTGGGTCCTTCCATACTGGTCCTTCCATACTGGTCCTTCCATACTGGTCCTTCCATACCTATCCTTCCATACTGGGTCCTTCCATACTGGTCCTTCCATACCTATCCTTCTATACCGATCCTTCCATACTGGTCCTTCCATACTGGTCCTTCCATACCTATCCCTCCATACTGGGTCCTTCCATACCTATCCTTCCATACTGGTCCTTCCATACCTATCCCTCCATACTGGTCCTTCCATACCTATCCTTCCATACTGGTCCTTCCATACCTATCCCTCCATACTGGGTCCTTCCATACTGGGTCCTTCCATACCTATCCTTCCATACCTATCCTTCCATACCTATCCTTCCATACTGTGTCCTTCCATACTGGTCCTTCCATACTGGTCCTTTCATACTGGTCCTTCCATACCTATCCTTCCATACCTATCCTTCCATACTGGTCCTTCCATACCTATCCTTCCATACTGGTCCTTCCATACCTATCCCTCCATACTGGTCCTTCCATACCTATCCTTCCATACCTATCCTTCCATACTGGGTCCTTCCATACCTATCCCTCCATACTGTGTCCTTCCATACTGTGTCCTTCCATACTGGGTCCTTCCATACCTTTCCTTCCATACTGGGTCCTTCCATACCTATCCTTCCATACTGGGTCCTTCCATACTGGGTCCTTCCATACCTTTCCTTCCATACTGGGTCCTTCCATACCTATCCTTCCATACTGGGTCCTTCCATACCTATCCTTCCATACTGGGTCCTTCCATACCTATCCCTCCATACTGGGTCCTTCCATACTGGTCCTTCCATACTGGGTCCTTCCATACTGGTCCTTCCATACTGGGTCCTTCCATACTGTGTCCTTCCATACTGGGTCCTTCCATACTGGGTCCTTCCATACTGTGTCCTTCCATACTGGTCCTTCCATACCTATCCCTCCATACTGGGTCCTTCCATACTGGTCCTTCCATACTGGGTCCTTCCATACTGGTCCTTCCATACTGTGTCCTTCCATACTGTGTCCTTCCATACTGTGTCCTTCCATACCTATCCTTCCATACTGGGTCCTTCCATACCTATCCTTCCATACTGGGTCCTTCCATACCTATCCCTCCATACTGGGTCCTTCCATACTGGTCCTTCCATACTGGGTCCTTCCATACTGGTCCTTCCATACTGGGTCCTTCCATACTGTGTCCTTCCATACTGGGTCCTTCCATACTGGGTCCTTCCATACTGTGTCCTTCCATACTGGTCCTTCCATACCTATCCCTCCATACTGGGTCCTTCCATACTGGTCCTTCCATACTGGGTCCTTCCATACTGGTCCTTCCATACTGTGTCCTTCCATACTGTGTCCTTCCATACTGTGTCCTTCCATACTGTGTCCTTCCATACTGTGTCCTTCCATACTGGGTCCTTCCATACTGTGTCCTTCCATACTGGGTCCTTCCATACCTATCCTTCCATACTGGGTCCTTCCATACCTATCCTTCCATACTGGGTCCTTCCATACTGGTCCTTCCATACCTATCCCTCCATACTGGGTCCTTCCATACTGGGTCCTTCCATACCTATCCTTCCATACTGGGTCCTTCCATACCTTTCCTTCCATACTGGTCCTTCCATACCTATCC